ATGACATAAGGATACAGCTTAGCTTGTTGTGAAGATATGAGTGGATAATGAACTAAAACCATTATTGTATCTGGCAAATGTGAGGGAGGTAAAAGAAAGAAAACAACAGTTATGATTCAAGAGGAATGTAGAGCTCGTATCAGGATGGGAAATGTCCATACATCTACCAGACAGCAAACTTAGTTTATGATTCCTAATCATGGTAGGGAATGTCTGGGTTTAATTTAACCATCTAAGTCATTCATATCAATAAATTTAGTAGGTAAACATCTGCTGTAAGTTCTTACGTTTTTCATATCAACTTTTGTCCTAAGAAAAGGAAGTGAAAGGCCCAAAGGAATCAGAAATGTGGAACATTGTTTGGGACATGGTACAGAAGATATGGAGGATGCAGTGGGAAAGAAATGGCTTTACTTGTCAATGACACCCTGCATGTCAATTTTGCTTCCTATCCCTTCCCCTGCTTCCCCTTAGTAATGCAGGGAATTAATTCAATAAAAAAGGCTCGTGGGTGTATATAAACCATGGGGGGGGGGGGGAATGGTGTAGATATAATTGTTGGTAATCTGGTGTTCAAAACACAACATTAGTTAATATGATTTGATCTTATGCTATGGTGGCTCTCTTTCAAAGAACATTTATTTTTCTTTTCGAGCATTCCTGATTTTTATAGATGATCATATTCTCTTAATTATATTGGAATTAACAGAGGGACTATATAATTAGATATTGCATAGTTTTATGAGTGCAAATAAAAGTATTTTAAAAGGGCAATATTGGAAGGATAGCTATTCTTTGTCAATTCCTATAAATTCATGTCATGTTGAAGTCATTATATGGTTATTTAACAATGTTACTTAATAGAAAATAAAAAATAAATAAAATATAAAGAAATATATACAGTCCAAATTTTTAAAAATAGTTTTCCATTTTTGACTTCTGGCAGCAAAATGCTTGTTCATATATTAAAAACAGTAACTTCTTCAAACTGCTGTAAAATGGGAATGGGTATCCTTATGATTTGTCAATAATGGCAGGTCAAGAAAGCTTTGGTATGTGAAATGACATCCCAATGTTAGGACAAAGTGTCTGATGTGATGCATATTTCCCCCTCGCCCCTTTTTTTTGGTAGGCATTCAAGTTTGTCTTACACATTCCATCTGGACTTTTCTATGTGTTCGGTGCAAACAGATATTTTGTATACCTGAACAAGATTTCTGTAAATATCAATTAAATCTATGGTTACAAAATGCTGGGACACAAAATGTTAGGACCTCATAGAATCAAGTGGAAGACAGGGATGAGATAACAGCATTTCAAAGTTGGAATGAAAAGTAGCGTTTTTTTTAAAGTGGGAAGTGGAAAGCAGGAAGGAAGTGGACTGCAGAGGAACAAAGGGCCTATTCTGCTAGATCAATGGTAGGAGTTAAGATTGGAGGATGTTCACCATGAACTTAAATCCCTTCCATATGGGGATATTTTCAAATGCTATTCATGTGCCCATTTTCCTGCAGTCATGCTACATCACTATATAACCTATAGTTTCAGGAGTATATTTAAGATCATATAGGTTTAGGAATGCCAGCCACTCTTAAACTTGCCTTTAATAGGCACAGTGCAGTAGGCACAGGCCTAATGTAAGGATGGATAATGTGTCACTCTTTATTCCTTGCACAACTACATTTGTGGCATGTTAATTATTGGCAATGTTGGCTAGGTTTGCTGGAGTTGTAGTTCAGCAAGATCTAGGCTTAAAAACAGAAAGGAAAATAGTGCAATCATGCCATCCGAGTTCTTAGTTTCCTGTCCTGAGTGGAATCCTGAACAATAGCAATTCTATACAGTTGTCATACATTGCAACATTTTTGTTTACAAAGACCACTTATTAGTTGAATAATTATGTCAACAAGGTGTTGTGATGGAATGTAGTCTGGATTCCCCAGAAGAAGGGAGTGCAAGACAGTGAAGTTTAGATCATTTGAGTAGGAGAAAGAGAGCCAGAACGGCTCTTCCATTGGGAGTCTTCAAAGACTATCTTTAATGGTGTAAGTAGTTTGTTTAGTTTGGAAAGATTTCATCTATGGACAAGAAACAATAAACAAAACTGCTCAGAAGAACTTTGTCGTTCTTAGTTTTTGGAGCCCAACTGGTGTTTTAAGAAGACTCCGTCCCTAATTTATGCTTCTGGTATCTAATATATATTAGCTATCTAATATACAGTAACAACGTTTTGAGTGTATGTTTGAAATGCAGGATCTATGCAGGAAGACATGTCATGAGGTGTGGCCAAATAAGCTGACAAATCAGAGGGGGAGGAGAATAAGATTTAGTCTTCGGGTGTGAGTTTTATGTTCAGCATTTAAGTCTTACAGAGTCCTACCACTAGAGTTTAACAGCCTGTGTGTTTCTAACGTGTTGTGTGTTCCTATTTGCCCCACAGAGCTAAGTCATATATTCATTGATACTTGTAGTTCTTTCATGGTGCCTTTCTTACTGGACTTATCTCTCACAGAGAGACCTTCTTTGTCACAGAAGCTGCAACAGTTGCTCTTTCACCAGCTGCTTTAATCTTTCTTTCTTATCTTCCCCTGCACATATGGCAAGGGAGCAGAACGCCTTCTTTGGTCAGGTTTACAGCTGATAAGTAGTCAGCTGAATCTTGGCAATGCATTGTGTCCACATAGAAACTGAATGATTGGGCACTGACATTTGCACATTTGTGTGGGTGGAGAACACACAGGAAAGAGAAAGATGACAACAGGCGGTGGGGCTGTGGAGGTCCATACTGTTGATTTTAGTACACTGAGATAAGAAAAATGCAGTAATAAAAGAACTGTCTTTTGCAAAGGACAATTATCATTGATGAACATTTCTGTGTGTTGTATGTTGATTGGGAGATGGAAAGAGTGGACGAAATGTCATTTCCCTCCACACATTGATTCAATCTTGATTGTCACCTTCATCAGGCTAAAAGATAGGGGTATGAAAAATATTGGTCTGCTTCCATGTAAATTCAGAGAAAATCTACCTGAGATGTTCCTAAAAGTTAGGAAAATGTGCACAACACTCACAAAAGTAATAAATTATGTTGGTCACATCTCATTTCCTGAGATGTTCTCTTCTATGTTCTTTGTTTCTTCTCATCTTTTCCTAATCAAGTCACTTAAAAATGATTAATGTATGTGTCTCAGTAAATCAACTTCAGATAGAACTGGTGGATTTTAATTTTATTTTGCAAAATCCTGCAAGCAAGTATCAACAAAAGAGCACTTAGGTTGGGGTGTATGGAATAGCAAAGGGATTTTATCTACATCTCTTCAAAGGATACAATTCAGCACAGCTATTTGATCTCCTCCTGAATTTAGAAGGCTTTCTCCATGGTTAAAGCCAGTTAAAGCAACTGAGAGTAATATTGCCTTTCCAGAGAATTAACAAGGACCAAGTAGTAAAACAAGAACAAAAGATCTAGGAGAGACTTCAAATGTATTTGCATTTCTGTTTCACAAAACAGAATCAAATTAGCCATTACTGTACGTGAATGCCATTAATGCAAGTAATGTGCCCTTCATAATACAGTAGCTTCAACCAAGTAAGAGCTGGAACATCCTTGAAGCAGCTACTTCTGTTTCAAGGAATTCGTCGAAATGCTTCTGAAAATGGAAATAATGTAACAATTAATATTTTTCTTGGGATTATGATAGGGAGAAGAGAATTAAGCAAATCCCAAAGCTGATCAAGATGTCCCTTGCTCTGTATACAGGCAGTCCTCGACTTATGACCAAAATTGATCCCAAAATTTCTGTTGTTATGTGAGACGTCTGTTAAGTCAGTTTGTACTCCATTTTATGACTTTTCTTGCCACAGTTAATCACCACAGTTGTTAAATTAGTGCCATAGTTGTAAAGTGAATATGGCTTCCCCATTGACTTTGCTTGTAAGAAGGTTGCAAATGGTGATCACAGGACACTGGGACACTGCAATTGTCATAAATATTTAGCCAGTTGCCGTGTGTCTGGATTTTGATCATGTAACCGGGGGGGGATGCTGCAATTGTAAGTGTGAAAAATGGTCATTAGTCTCTTTTTCCAGTGTCGTCGTAAATTCGATCACTAAATGAACTGTTGTAAGTCGAGGACTACCTGCACTACATCCAGTTCTAGTATTCTGGGTAGCTGTAGCAGGAAGATTGAGTTAACTCCCAGTTTTGTCACCTGTGAGTATCATAAGGGCTATTGCTGTTATCCACAACTGCAAATATGAATTCTGCATTCACAGATTACTCCAGGAGTGCCCTACAGCACTCACATAATATCAGTAGTGGAGTTAAGGGCCTTCTGTTATCTGTTGGAATTAACTCTTCAAAATGGCCACATAAAAGGTGCACAGGGACTGTTTCATGCCACTATGTTATGGGCTGGTATGATCTACAAAGATCCATCAAACAGTAAATTCTACATACAGTATAAATATGGTAGAAAAATGTATGTAAAAAAAATAGCTCATCTTTTTAGCTAAAGCTAAAGTCAGCGTGTCCTCAGCTAAGCCCCAGGCCCTTCCCTTTTATGCCTGCCTCACAAGTTTAGATACCTGGTTTATTTCCTTCTCTACATCAGTCTGTGCTGAGTAATCCTTTCATTTGTATAACTACCTTCAGCACTAAAAGAACTAATATTCTTTTGCTAAAGATAGAAAGGGAGATAAATCAGAAGAGACTGATTGTACAGGACATATATACAGTGCCTTCTAAATCTTAATCAGTTGTTTATTGGTTGGCAAACAAATTTCACTGTTACAACAAATATTAGTAATGAGGTCATTCAACTGGGTGACCATACAAAATGCATCATAAATTAAAAAAAGAGTAAAATCTGTGCTGCTAATTTACCTCCTGGGAAGGTCTATATTACTTTAAACCTTGTCAAATAAATACATTTCCTGTTAGGAAAAATAATGGAAGGGTTTGTATATATATATATATATATATGTATGTATGTGTATATATATATATATATATTTCACCACTTCAAAATAGGCTTTTAAAAATATCTTTGCTATGAAGCAGTTTTTCAAACCATCGCAGTGAAAGTTCCTAGCCTGAGGTTAGATTTTGACTCCTGTAAAGGCATTATGTTCATCTGCATAAGTCCCATTATGAAATCCCAGCTACTGGAAGGGACATAATGCCTTGGTGAAGGGACTGATGACCACAAAGGCTGCTGCATCTTATCAATTGTGCCCTGGAAACACGTGGGTCAAATTTCTGATCTGAAAAAAAGAAACTGTTGGCAAATCCGTAGATAAAAGAAACGGAGTATATTGTGTGGATGTTATCTGTGTCTATATGCACATTTATATATATTGCATACTGACACACAAACACACAGAGTGTGATATCACATAACCCAAAATTAAAGAATCATTACTTTGTTTACTCAGTGATTTTTTTTAAATGAGAGAGAGGAATAAAAGGCCAAATAAAGAATACATGAAAAGAATTGTTTCTACTGGTAGACAAACTTGCAAGACCAGCACAACAGAAAAAGGATTTTTTTTCCACCACATTAACAGGGACGCAAGTTTTGGCGGAACAAAGAGTAGACTATATGTGCAATGCTAGTATCTGTACATTACATAGGAACTGTTCCATTTTTTCTGCCATTAGAATTATCATCAGTTAATACAGAAAAACATAAAAATATACCATGTAGCATACAATTACCAACTTTCTATTTCATTAGATTTTGTTTGCTCCACAGTTCAGTGAGCTTTGGCTAAATTAAGTGGTGAGAGAGAGAAAGAGAGAGACACACACACACAAAAAAAACCCCAAACCAAAAACCAAAACCCCAAACTATTATGTGATACAGATTCAGAATAAACAGTTTTGCTATTTTTGCTTCTGTTTTGTGCAGCACTCCAATCTAGACGCATCATTGCTAGTAGTTTCAAATGCATGTTTGGCCTTTTGTAAGTCAGGTCCTTGGTACTAAGAAGACAGCACCCAAAGATGCTTAAACAAATGCAGTATAATGTGAGAAGGCCACACAATGGACCACTTCCTTTTGCATCTCATTCATTAGCATATGGTCTCTCTGATGTGACGCCAGTGTATGTGTTGGGTGAGGGGGAACAACAGGCAGTTAGCCTTTTTTTTTTCCTTCATGGGCCTATCAATTCCATTAAAAAGTTATGAGAACTGTTGGTTGTTTAGAACAATATGGAGTAGGAGAACACACAATATTACCACTGCTTTGATTTAAATCCAGACAATAATCCAGATGTACAGGGAGCATTTGTTTTATTAAAATGTTTACTTAGTGTTCTATAGACTAGTGACCAAGTGAGCTGGTCCTTTCAAGGTTTCTTCTGTCAGGGTCCCATCCTTGTTTGGTGGAACTATAAATCCATCACTACTGCCCCGCCCCAACTGATAGTAAGTGTGTAGCTGTTGGATATGGTTCCTGGAGCCCAAGTTTGGCATACTCTTGTAGTACACATCATCGCCATCGCCACCTTTAGTTGATGAGGGATCGGTCTGGGTGCTGGTGGTGACACTTTCTGTGCCTGGCATGCTGGCCAGAGCAGGCATACTAGTGTAAAGAGAATCCCTATTCGGTGACTGGAGATCTTCTGTGTGCTCATTGGTTAGCAAGGGGAAAAAACTTTCACTGTTGTCTTGTGGAATCCGTCTTTTGCTATAATGGTGAGGCTGGTGGTTCTCTGCAGAATATGCCCTTGGGGGTAACAGTGGGGCATCTGATTCCTCATGAATGAGTTCTAAGCCCAGGTTCTCCTCCTGGTTAAACAAGGTGACGTCATCGAGAACAATGGCATCGTCACTCCCACTGCCAAGATTATTGACAAATTTGTTCATCAGATTCCTACTTTGTTCATTAGAACATTCATGTTTGTTCAGGTAGGAAGGTATATAATTGGAAGTGAGTTCTTTCAGAATCTTTTTCTCTAAGGCAGTCTCACTGTGGTTATAGCTATGGTCAATTATTTGCACACAGTTGCTCAAGTACTCACTGCTAGCAATGCTGTAGCTATTGCCGTGGTTACCATTCAGTGGTAGAGTATCCATGACACTTGTATCCCTGGCATTGTTCAGAAGCCCCTCTGAAAAATATCACATAAGAAAATTTGATTTGTACCAAAAAGTATTTGTATATACTCTTGATTTGCATGGCTACTGTCCTAAGAAACAATAATAAACTGTTTGTTACAATATACAGTAATTGTGTAAGAAAGGGAATAAAGAGAAATGAAATTATATTGGGTTTCAAGACATGGAAATATGGATTTAAACCTTCTCCATTAACTATTGTTTCAATTTGTAAATTGTTTGTCTTCCATAGTACACTGAAGATGGCTAAAAAGTCAGCATGTAAAGTACAAACAGTTGAAATCCAATTTAAAAAATTCTGAATTATTATCTGAGCTCAAAAGGCCTGGTTGAAGAGAAAGATATTCTTTTCTTGTAGACTAAAAGAGTGGGAGTTAAAATTGATTAAAAGAAACTGGGATTAACACAAATAAAGATATTTTGTTTTGTGCTCAACAAATGGGGCATTAAAAACAGTAGCCTTGCTTGCGAATCTCAATGCCTGCTCACTTTCATACTGTGAAAGACACTTCTTCAGACAGTCTTGCTCTAATATTTTTAACTGTGTTAAAATGTTTTAACCAATTTAACTGTGCTGAGAAAACAACTGGCAACTACAGGTCTTTCAAGATAGGTTTAAATTAATTTAGGGCTCTGTATGCTTTGAAATGAACTGTTGTAGTTCAAGCTGTATAACTTTTCAAGCTAGTAGTGAAGCTTCAAAAAAATGCTTTAAAGAGGTGAGCCTATGTGCCTGTGTGTTCCATAGTATCTGTCTTACATTTTAAAGCATACATGATGTTATTGCATACTAGTTAACATCTTAATTGCTGCAGTTGAAGTAGCTGGATACTCTTTAAAGTTAGTTCCATATAGGTTATACTGAAGTAGTCTAACTGTGATAGAACCAAAGCTTGAATAAATATGAACTCATCTAACTGGTTCAAAATGGCCATAACTGATATAGGACACAAATTCTAGAAATGCATTACTTTGCCACCATTACCATCTAGACATCCAGAAACAGCTGGAATTCAAGAAGCATTCCTGGGCTCAGGGGCTATTTTTTTCAGGCTGGACTCTAATACCAAAACTTATTTTTTTTACTGATTAGCAGCAACTGCATATTATATATATTTAATTACAACTTATTCATCTTATATATTGAATCTTGAAAATAAAACCTTAGATACGGGAATTATAGTCCTACATTTAGAAGGCCATAAGTTTCCCCACCTTATTCTAATTGACCTAAGCATTGGCAGTTCAGATGTATCTAATTATGATTATTAGGTACATCAAATATAATCAAAGAAGGAGTAAGGCAGTGATAGGCAGAATTCAGCTCATTCCCATACCCCCCCAGAACTTTGAGAAACTGAATCTGAGCCTGTTGTAAATGATAAACAATGAGTAGAGAAATTTGGTCAGAATACCAGGTGAAGAGGGCTCAAAAATCTTCCATAATAAAAACCTGTCCTAGTTAGCATAAATGTTTTCATACCAGCTATATTATTTGAGTAGGGTTGGGAAGAGATTGATAATTTTGTTACTGCTACTATTAAAATATTAAATGTTTGACACTTCAGCAATCTAACCCAGAGATCTATCATACAGATTTACTTTCTTCCCATTCGCAAATTAAGGCATACAAAATTTCTAAATATTATGAACTACCACATGTTTATTGCATTCCTTAAATGCGAGACCGGTAAAATGCCAAGAAACTTGTTGCTTGATTCTCCACTGTTTTTGTTTTAGAACAGAGCAGGGATGTGCCAATAGATGCCAAAAAGGATGAGATAAAGGAAGTAGTACTGGAAGGACTGATTTTAATTCTTCCTCTCATGTTAGTTTTCTGAACGAAATCATATTGCCCCTGCTAACTAATTTATATTCTGGAATTAATAGTTTCTTATGTATTCCCTTTAAACACAGATATGTTCTACAATTATGAACACAGAGAATGATTTCCCACTATCCCTCTCACCATACTTCATTAGCTATCGCTACAGTCTTGACATATTTTAATGCAACAAAACCTACCTATATAGAGCTTTATCACTCAGATAATATAGGTAAAAATTAAAATAATAAAATAAGCATCTATGATCATATCAACAGTCTGAAATACTTAGTTGGTATAATCATGATGATAATTCAAATCAACCCCAACTAATTTGTTCCTTTAATTTACAAATGCACTCCAAATCAACTCAAATTGATTCATCTTCAATTAATTGCCCACTTCAGTCATGCTCCTAAATAACAGCCTTTCAATCAATTTCATTTGTATTTACCAATCAAGAATAAAAAAGAAATAGAGTGGACTAAGTTTTGGGTGGCTGATTCTATACAATAAGGAAGCTAAGGCAATGATAATTTATGTAAAAGCATTGGGGAAGGCACCCAGGATCCAATAGAACCCTTCCCAAAAGTAGTAGTCTAAAAGAGCTTACCATCTTTAGACTGTTTGAGATGCAAGGAAAGTTCTCTATTTTTCCTGCTGCTGCTAGTCCTTATTGTCCCTCCTGGCAAATTTCCCAGTAGCTTAGTCCTAGGCAAGAATCTCCAGATCCTTGGGAAGGGTCTCCAGATGAGTTTGGTGAGAAGTGCCCATGAGGATACACTTCCCAGGACAATAATTATAACAAGATCATCAGGGCAGGGAGCAGGTCACTTCACATTTTACTAGTCAAAATAATCACTATCTGGGCCAGCTATTCTCATCAGCTCTTTGGCTGCTTTATGTCACTGAGCTTTAAGGTTAGGCCTGCCTTCCAAAATACGCTGAGAGTTTTAAAAAAAAGGCTCTTGGATGCATGCAGTTCCCTAGTATCCACCCTGTTTAGGAAAGAAAGGCTTCCAGGTCCTTCTCAATAAATATGTAGAGTATTACATGGTCCTAACCATAAAGAAGGCTGAATGCCGAAGAATGGATGCTTTTGAATTGTGGTGTTGGAGAAGACTCTTGAAAGTCCCTTGGACTGCAAGGAGATTTAGGTCAAATTAGGATGAAATCCTTGTACGGAGTATACAGTTAGAAGGATTTAAATTGTTTAAAAGAAGCAGACTTATATTTCTACAGAAACACAGCAGAGCAATGATGAAAACCGTCTTGAATATATTTGAGTCAATATAAAAGGAAAAAAGAATGACATTGCTATAGGCATATACTACAGGCCACCCAACCAAACAGAGTTAACTAGGTTAACTAAGGTATGCAAGAAGCATACTACAATAATAATGGGGGACTTTAACTATCCTGACATCAATTGGGAGACAAACTCTGCACCTAGTGGAAGATCAAATCGACTCATGACAGACAACATAGCAGACAACTTTGTCTTCCAAAAAGCAGAGAAGGGAACTAGAGGGTCAGCCATTCTGGACTTAATCCTCACTAACAGAGATGAAATGATGGAATGTGTTGGAAGTTACAGGAACATTGGCAGGGAGTGACCATGCAATATTGGAACACTATGCAAACAGAAGAAATACAACAAAGTCAAACTAGAATCTTGGACTTCAAAAAAGCTGATTTCAATAAACTTAAAGAGAGTTTTGAAAGGATTCTATGGATGAGAATCCTCAAAGGGAAAACAATCCAGGAATCTGGGGAAACTTTGAAAAATGAGATTATAAAAGTCCAGTTTAGCACAATTCCAATGAAGAAGAAAAATAAGAAATCTCAAAAGAAACCAGCATGGCTGCACAAAAAATTATCGAATAAACTGAAAAACAAAAAGGACAGATATAAAAAGTGAAAAAAGGGGCAAATAACCTAAAGTAGAATATCAGAAAATAGCCTGAACCTTCAAAAATAAAATCAGGAAAGCTAAGGCTCAAAATGAACTAAGGCTTGTGTTAGGTATAACATTGATACCAAATATGGTTTGGGTGAATAAATAT